ATATATATATATATATATATATATATATATATATATATATATATATACTATGGTACATGGTTAGTTTGGCCTTTAGTTCATTTTTGACAGTCGCTAGTACGTAACGTGAACTACTAGCAAGATCAAATTTTTAACTGAAATGCAAACAAAGTAAAAAAAATAATAAAAAAAACTAAATATCTCTCTATAACATCAATTTTGCAGCGCTATATTCGTGTTTATATCAACTGTGACACAATTTTTTAATGCTTTGAAATGAGTTCGCGTTAGCTTCGGAAGCTAACGGAGCTAACGAAATTTCAACGAGATAAAAAGTAATTCTTCTGATTTCTCACTGCATTTAAGAAATTACTGGCCGTTACTAAAAACATGACAACACGCAACACCTTGAAAAAACAAAATTAACGTTCCTTACCAGTGAATGTGTGACGGAGACTGGATTTTAACTAGTCACCAAAACCCGGAACTAGTTTGTGTTTACACCGTTCCGCAGTAAATATAGTCCGTGGGATTTCACTTACAAAGAGAAAGTGTCCTACTGATTATTAATCCTCACATTTATTTCTTGATTAGGGCTAGGGATATTTTAAACACATATTTTGTAAAGTATAATATAACAATTCTTAAAAATCACATTGAATATATTTTGTTTACCATAAAATAAAGTGTGATCACAATCTACAATGAATGATAAATATTTACACATATAAAATTAAAATCAATAAATTTGTAGTTTCATTTTGTTATTCACTATAAAATTATATATTTAAATAATAAACAGACAATATGACGAATGCACTAATTTACAGGCAATTGTACTGTTGATCCTAAGGGGGGCGCCTGTGTTTAAGAAGAACTTATCTGCGCCTCCTCTTCCTGTGATGAGCGAGAGCAGGTGCTTATGGGACATGACAGAGACATTTTGTTGGGCCATAAATCAGAATTCACTAGGGAGGCTATGTTCTCTGCACTCTTATACATTCTCCAAGATCCACTCTGTAGAAATTCACTGGTTCAGCTTTTTGTGATGATATAGCAAGTTTGATTTGAACAGTAGAATTTACTATAGCACTAAGCTTTAAATTTAACAAATGGCCACATGAAACACACACATCTTTAAAGGTGATCATTTAATTCCTTTTTCAAATCAGTGGCCTGCTGCCGCTCTTTAGGTTCCTTAAAACAGTAGCGTGTCTGTAACAGATCAGAAAGAAACCGCGTGGGTTCATGCTGTGTCCCTAAGTTTAAAATGTGACTTGTACTTATCCTGCCTGGAGTTCAATCAAGAGGAGAAGTGATGACTGTTGAAATCTGAGGCTTTAAAGTGAACACAGAGTTATCTGAGCTGTAATACTGAGAGCAGCTAACTGAGCTTGACAGTAAATTGTGCAGTTTGACTTAAAGGAGTGCTCTGATTTAGTGTAATGTCCTGCACGCACACAAAAAATTGTATTAATGTTTCTTATTATATACACCAACAAGGCTTCTCTGGGCAGATTTTTTTATATTTCCTTGCTTCATTGCTGCCACAGATGTCAGAGGAGAAATACTCAGAGGTGACCTGGTGTTTTTCTTACATTAAAACCAGGTTTAGCTATCCTGTCAGTCTGTACCCAGAAGGTTCTGGTAAACCCTGCGACTGGCTGTGTTGCTTGTGAACTCTCACACACGCTCACACACAACAGAAAACAATCACTGACCTTCCAGTCCCCCATTACACCATTAGTACTTGATCATGAGCAGGCGGGTGGCAGCAGCCCCTTTGATGTCTCTCTGATATGACCCACCCAGCTGCAGCTGCTCTCAGCTCTATTTTGGGGAGGCTGCTGTGGGTCCTCATAACAGGGCTTCCTTAACACATACACACAATACATGCAGACATGTCGACATGTCAAGCCTTATCAACAGTGTCTCTAACAGCCCAGCTCTGTGCCGATCAAACTTTCTTGTAAATTATTCTGGGAACATGTCTGTGTGATAGTTAGGAAGTTTAAATGTGCCACACTGAACACATTTTACATTTTTTTTGTACCATACCAAAAGTGCAAATAAGTCTTCGTTTACCCATGATACATTGCTAACCAGAGGCAGCACATGTTTTGATGGGGCCCCTGAGCTGAATTTGATTTTGAGCACCAAATAAAGTTTGTTGTCCAGTTTAATGCCTTTTAAAAAACATTTTATTGCTTTATTTTTGTGCATTGTGCATTTAATGTAACAAAAACAGTTTGTCATGAAGTTGGAAAGTAATGAAAAATAGACATAAACAGCAGAATAATTTCCATAAGTCCCTTATTTGACAGAATACACGCTTTTAATGTAAAAGACAAGAAAGTTTTTGACTTCAGCACATTGATTAACTTACTAATAGTTTTTTTGTTGCTTAAATTACATTACAAAATGAGTAAAATACTAATTGAACATGTAGAAATAAAGCTGTAGTGACCTCAAATGGTTAAATATTGAAGCAGAGGAACAGATGGTGGATGATTTTCTGCTAGGTTCCTCGGAAGTTCTCCTTTGTCTTTGAGTAAAGGAACAAATATGAGGACCTGCCAATAGCTTGTCCAGCAGTCAATCAACATTTAAGTTTGTTCTTGTTTAAACACTTCAAGTGAACAAACCACATAAATATGTGAACGCTAGACACAACAGTTTAAATAAGTTGAAAACTTTTACTAGATTTTTTTTTCAAGTATAGGTCTACTTAGTTTTTTTTTTTGTTGTTATATTCCATCCATCCATCATCTTCTGCTTGTTCAAAAGTCGGGTTGTGGAGGCAGCAGCCTGAGCAGGGAGGTCCAGACATCTCTTTCCACAGCCACCACTTCCAGCTCTTCTGGGAGGACCCCAAGGCGTTCCCAGGCTATCCAAGAGACATAGTCTAGCGTGTCCTAGGTCTTCCTCGGGATCTCCTCCCAGTCGGACATGCCTGAAGCACCTCCCTAGGGAGACACCCAGGGAGCATTCTTACCAGATGCCCGAAGCTGTGGTTCTAGTCCGAGTCTCTCCCAGAACAGCTTCTCACCCTATCTCTAAGGGAGAGTCCAGCTACCCTGCGGAGGAAACTCATTTCAACCGCCTGTATCAGCGACCTTGTTCTTTCGGTCACTACCTAGAGTTCATTACCATAGGTGAGGGTAGGAACTTAGACTGACCGGTAAACAGAGAGCTTCATCTTACAGCTCAGCTCCCTCTTCATCACAACAGACTGGCACAGAGTCCACAATACTGCAGATGCTGCACCAATCTGTCAGTCTCACTCTCCATTCTTCCCTTGCTCATGAACAAAACCCAGAGATACTTGAACTCCTCCATTTAAGGCAGAACCTCAACCTGAAGAGAGCAACCCAACCTTTTCTGACTATGGACCATGGCCTCAGATTTGGAGGTGCTGATTCTCGTCCCAGCCACTTCACACTCAGCTGCGAACTACTCCAGTGAGAGCTGGAGCTCATGGTATGACGATGCCAACAGGACCGCATCATCTGCAAAGAGCAGAGATGGAATCATGAGGCCCCCAAACAGAAATCCCAGGCTGCACTGAGAAATTCTGTCCATAAAAGTTATGAACAGAATCAGTGACAACGGGCAGCCCTGGCGGAGTCCAACTCCCACCCTGGGGTGATCCGACTTACTAACGGCAATGTGAACCAAACTCTTGCACCACTTGTATAGGGACTGAATAGCTCATAGCAACAGGCCCCCAATCCCATACTCACGTTCACCAAGTATCTCAAATCTTTATTTCGATAATTGAAAGATAACACTCTGTTTGATCTCCAGTACTGAGAAATATTTTCATTGTAGTCACCTCTATAAGCATTATTCTTATGTATATAAATAAACCCTAGGTGTAGTGATTGTTCTTTGGCAACTTATCAATTTAGTGTGGTTTTTTTTACATGTACAAAACAAAAAATATGTTAGTTGGTGTAGAGTTCATCAATGGTAGAACTGATAAAGTTCAATGTAAAAGACTATAATTAGAAATTCTGAACATCCGTCATCTTTATCCACTTCTTCCATTTTGGGTCGCATGGGTCACTGGTTCCCATATCCAGCCGTCACTGTGTAAGAGGCGGGGGGCACCCTGTACAGGTCTCCAGTCCATAACAGGGAAACATAGAGACACCTAGGGGCAATTTAGAGTTACCAATCAGCCTAACGTGCATGTTTTTGGTCTGTGGGAGGAAACCGGAGTACCTGGAGAAAACCCACGCATGCACGGAGAGAACATGCAGACTCCACCCAGAAAGGTCCCGGGCTGGGATTTGAACCGGCGACCTTCTTGCTGAGAGGCAACAGCTCTACCAGCTGTGCCACTGTGCCGCTCTGGAATTCTGAACAGTTAGTTGAAATTGAATACAATATGAGAAGTCAGGGTGATTTGTCTTATACCTTTTAATCAAAATGACTTCTACATGCAACTTGTCAAATATTGGGGTACAGAATAAACACACTGTAACAAACACATTTACACACATCTCCTGCAGCAGAGCACATGTAACAACTTTGGTCTTCCAGAGATGTGGCTTGTATTCATTCACATTCTTATGTCATAGCAATTTGCAATAATGCAAACATTACTCAATAGTGTCAATTCCCTCTTTATGCTCAAGTTAGTGAGACTACAGTCACACAAGTTGGCAAGTGTACATGCAACAGTCACAATCTTGTCAACAACTGGCAAGCCATTGCCATTTTTGAATAGGTAGTCTACTGGCAGAAATGCTTGAAGCATAATTGTTGCCCTTCCTTATGGTTTCCACATCGACTGCAGATAGTTGTGCTTTACCTTTGGTGAAACTTGGAATGTTTACCTCTGCACGGTATGTTTCCACACTAGTCTGCATGTTGCAACCACGATCTGCTAGTATGAGGTCACCTGGAAGTACTGTAGTTCCAATAACAAACCAGTTTTCAGTTATACACTTGTCACTTGTCCTGCCACCCCATGCATTCTTGACAGAACCCTGGTGGTGTGATACCTTTTAAGAATTTCACTGTTAGAATGATTATAGTTTGACCATGTCTGTGCACGTGCCAACACATTTTTAGGCCTTTGAATAAACACTTCAAAGTAGTCAATTATAACAGCTGTTCTTTGTCCAAAATGTTTTCGAAAATCCAGAGGCATGGTTTTCCTCAATTCATCCCACTCGAGCCAGTACAGCAGCTTCTAGATGTGCATATAAAACATGGATGACAATCAGAAATGTTCTTGAGACAGTTGAGGTGGAAGTTTGGAATCAAAAAGCCAAATCTTGCACAGGAAGGTTTAGCTTAAGATGCATTCAGGTCATTACAAAGCGTTCAAATTGACTTACTGTAAATCACTATTTGCTTTATGAATGACCTCACCAGATCAAATACACACTCATCAACATTCCTTGTGTACATAATTTCGCTCCACCACATGTACCACATGAGGTGCGAATGACAATAAAGAAACTCTGACTCTCTGACTCTGACTCTGATAAAGAATGATGGAAGGCCATACGACTGTAAAGTTGTTATTCTCAAAGCATTTTTCATTTAACTTCAAATCATTTAACTGATCTTTTAACACATTCTTCGTCGACTGGATCCGAGACTGTACCCAGGTCTAGGAGAGCCATGATCTATTTTAAATGTGTTTTAATAACTCTGGTTTATGGCCGGTAATGTTTGTGTGATGCTGCCATTCTTGGCCCGGTCTTTCTTGAAAAAGAGATTTTTAAGTTTCAGTCAGATCTATCTGGTTAAATGAAGATTTAAAAGAAAAATAATAGCATAAGCTAACTAACTACGTACTAAATCATGAACATAGTTACAGCACACATACAAGTTCTTTTACTCTAAATAATTTCTTGACAGTCCTGCCACGCTTAGGGGCCCACTGTTGGTGTGGAGGCCCCAAGCATCTCGTGCACTTAGCTGGGTTCTGCTTTCACCCACCAGTCTAAAACCATTAATTCATTCACTGCATCCTTCATGAACAGAGTTTTGATTAAGACTGGGGTAAAACCAGGTCAAAGTTTAAGAGATGATATGGAACAGAGGGGGGAGGGAACGTCTTTGGGCATTTCTCCTAAGAAAAGGAGAGAAAGGCTTGTCACAATAAATTGGAGGGCACTGTTCCTTTTGCCTGCAGCCATTTGCAGCATTCTGTAGTTTTCACCAACATATCTCATATGATTCGTAAAATTCCAGCGTTTGTTTGGATCATTCTTGAAAATGCTGTTTGTATTTTGCACGTTTTACACTATTCTTTTATATTGAAAAAGATTTTTAAAATTAGTTTTCAAATAAAAGGCCAACAAATTATGCTTATTAAATTAGTGTTGGAACAATGATTAGTACTCCTTTCAACACGGCGATGTTTCAAAAGCCTGTGCAACCAGAAAGACACAATGATTTGCTCATTGTCTGATTTAAAACACAAAAAAGCCCAAATCATGAGAGAAGGCCATTCTTATGAGAATACAACCTCCACTCCACTCACAATGAAAGCTTTGATAGGCAGATAAGTGGATGTGGCAACCATTTATTCCTAATAGCTCAAGGATAATGCATTATGTTGAAGCCCTACTTGTTTGAACTATAATGACTCACTATGAAAAAGCGTATAATAATAACAATAATGATAAAAACCCCTTCACCATAATTCACGTCACTAAACAAAGAAGTGGAAAACATTGTGCATCCATTTGGATCGTGTTGCTCTTTTACACAAACAGCACAATGGGCAAGTTCACTGCGCAGGACAACGTTGCCTGTTCGATGAGACCCAGAATAGTTTGCTTTAGACAAAGTGACAGGTTTATCGTTTTAAAACAGAGGTTTGTTTCAGTTTGTGTAACAGACGAGGTGGTGCTAAGCTAGGCTAACTATGCAAGGCACGGAAAGGGGAGCTGCTGTTAGCAACCGTTTTGAAAAACGATGGCCACTGATATCTCCTCACTGCTTACAGGCCTTAATCCGATTTTAGAAACACAACTAAGTTGCATTTTAGTCGCAGACCTTTCCGCATACCAGGGTCGTAATTGCTATGTGTTGCAGCGCACAAGTCTCCTGTTCCATTGGTTGTTCGTCCACGTTCAAAATTACCTGAACAGCATTGTCACAGAATAAATCTTTACAGGTTAAAATTGTAGCTGTCACTTCTAAGACTTAAAAGGATCTGATTTATATTTGTCCAAGACGGCCAGTGCAACCAAATCTTTCCCAGCTAGCTGTGCCATATTAGAATAGCAACAGAGATATTCTATACTTTCTCTGACAGCTTCACATGGAGGTTTAAGCTGCTCTCTGTAATATTCCTTTGAGGGCTAGTCTGATCTGTCAAATGGGGAATCTATCACGTTGGGCATTTTTGGTTAGTATTAACACCACAACATTATCTAAAATTAGCTAACTCTGAAGGTTTAGTTGTGTCTCCCAGAGTTGGGACAGCGAGTACACGACATGGCATTACTCATTCCACGCACTTGTCATTGCTGGTGTAACACTAGACTAATCCAAGGCCGATCAGTGGTGGAAACAGGACAATCTCACTTGAGACACACTGCCCTGCACTTGCACGACTAATGCGAGACCCTGTCTGAGGTGTTTTGATTCCATGCGTGGCCTTTTCCCACTGGGTCTCATTAGAAAAAGGTTAATATATAGAAGCCAACATAAGAATGGAAGCTAAAACACAAGTGGAATTTTATTATTTGTGTCATACTAGAATAAAAACTGGAAGGGGCACCATGAAAAATGTTATTTGAATGCCTCCTCCAAATGTCTGACGTCTCAGATATCCTTTACTGACTGTAACCAGTTTGTCAATGTAGTTGTTGAAAGAGTAATAAAATACCAGAAGAAAGCATCCTTTGTTTAACAAGGCATAATATCTTTATTTTATACACATAACTTCATCTCCAAAGACTTTGCACAAATCAGTGGGGTATTATGAACCATAACATATCAAAAATCTCCCACAGTTCCTTGTTGTTTCCTAAAATCCTCAAATGAGTACATCTGCCTTTCACATCCCCAAATGGTACGAACAATATGACCAGCTGATTTTTTTTTCTTTCCCCAGTGTCAAACGTGATCATATGTGTATTACATTACCAATTACAAACAAAGTTATCTTCATTGTCAAAATACAGGTGTGCAAATTGTTAGAAAAATACCAACTCATACCAGATTCTGGATTGTGCTCTGTAAAAATCCTTACAAATAGTATATAATAATAATAATAATACTCTATATATAAATGTCTCCAACATGCAATGTTTTTTTTAAAAATACCCCACAAACAGGCTCCTCTGTTATGCCTTCTAGTCTTCAGAATATTTTCTGTAAATGTCAGTAGTAAGTTTTCCAGTAGTTCTGTGAACAGTTTGCAAACATCAAACAAAATTGTTACAATTAGAGAGAAAATTCATACCATCCTCCCTACTATTGCCACTGGTTTATTATATAAAGCAGCTTAATAAGTCTCACTGGAACCTGATGTATGTTTGGACTTTGTCCCGTTGAGCTCGCTGAGTTATGAAAAATTACACCTTCTTCCGAACCATCGATATCACCAACCAGTGTTCAAAGAGGTGCTTGCTTAGATTAACATCCCCACTTTGGATCTGATTAATCTGTTTTTAGTGAATGGATATGTACTACAGGGCTTATAAGGTGGTTGTACAGTAATTAAACCCTTAATTGAGAAACCAGATCTACTGTATATCTGAGAGCTCCAGCTTTTTATAGATCTAGATCAAATCTCACCCTTCCTCTCCAAAACTCATGGAGAAATAGTTGCAAATCAGTTGTGTGAACATCTGGGCATAGATACTTTTAGGGGTTTCAGTCCAGGGTTAGAGCTCAACAGAGCAAAGAAACACTACTGGTTAATGTTAATGATATTCTCATGGCCTCAGACAGCGGACTTGTGTTTATACGGGTCCTGTTAGACCTCAGTGCTGCATTTGAAACTAGTGATCACAATATTCTAGTCCAGAGGATTGAACATGGCATTGGGACTAGAGGAACAGCTCTAATGGTTTAAATCACGTTTATCTGATAGATTCCAGTTTGTTCATATTAATGAATCTTCACACACCAAATTTAGTCAAGGAGTTCCTCAGAGTTCAGTGCTTGGATCACTACTCTTTACTTCATATATATGCTTCTAGATAAAATTATTTGACAGCTTGGGGTATGTTACTGTGGTTATGTGGATGATACTCATTTATATTTCTGTAAATCTTGATAAACCCAATCAGTTACTTAGATTACAAACATGTCTTAGAGACATAAAAACCTGGGCGACTTTCAATTTTCTGCTTATACAGTAAATTCAGACAAGACAGAAATGTTGTGTATCTTGGGAACACACTTTGCAGCTTTTTTACTTCCTCTGAATGGCTACGACTTGGCCTCCAGTTCTAATGTAAAGAACCTTGGTGTGATTTTTAAATGGGACATGTCATTTAACACCAATTTGTTTTTTTTAACCAGGGCCACTTTCTTCTACCTGCACAACATTAAGAAAAGGGAGACATTCTATTCAAAAATGAAGCAAAAAAAAAAAAAAAAAACCTGGTCCATGCTTTTATCACTTCTAAGCTGGACTTTTTACAAACAATGTCAAGATGTCAAAAATAAACAAAATGAAATTAAATAAAGTGACCCTCTCTAGAAAGTTATCAGTTTATCCAAAATACTGCTGTCAGAGTTGTGATGGGAGTTACCAGGAGAGATCATATTGATCCCATTTTAGTTTTGCTCCACTGGCTCCCTGTTAAAACTAGAACATAATTTAAAACATACATATAGTTAGGGCTGGTTTGGGTAATCTGAAGTATCCCTTTAGTTTTGCTGCTTTAGGCTTAGACTGCTGAAAAACAAACTGACCGGATTTCTTCACTCTGTCTTTCTTCTCATTACTCTCTGTTCATATTTGCAGTTATTGCTGCATTAACAGTGTGTTCTTTGTTTTTCGTCCCATAGAAACTCAGTCTGACCCAATGATTCTGTGTTTGTTTGTTTCCTGTCCTCTCAACTCTCAGCTGGCTGAGACAAATCACTGCCCATCCAGAGCCTGGATCCATTGGACGTTTCTTCCTGTTAAAAGGGAGACGTTCCTTTCCACTGTCACCTTTGGGCTTACTCAGGATGGGGAACTGCAACAAAGTGACGAGTCGACACAATCTGCTGGCTTCCTTAGACAAACAACTTTTTTACTCGTTGGCGTTTTATAATGAACCGAATGTGATTGTATTGTGTTACAAATGGATTGAATTGACTAAGCAGATTTGAATGTGGAGCTGATTTGGCCTTGTTGCTTCTTTGCATAGTGCCCTGAGATGACTTTTGTTGTGAACTGGTGCTGAATAAAATAAACGGAACTGAAATAAATCCAACTAGATGAAGAATCGTCTAACGCGCTGCTCGTTTTAGAACTGACAATACAATCAAGCCAAAAAAAGAACTGCAACAAATAAACTCTAGATATCATTGTAAGCCCTTTTTGTTCATGACGACCAGTGTTCACAAACACATCAGTCATACAATGAATAAATAACTAATCTCGGTAGAGGTGACAGTAAACGCCCACCATAAAAATAACCACTTTGGAAATCAAAGACATTCATGCCATACCCGCAAGAAAGACTATAAGCAGCTAGGATGAAGCAGGTTAAAATCGTGAGCTTCAGGTGACAACGGATTTAATATCCCCCACCCCACTCCTGCAAAAGAGTTAAGACAAGGATGGCATCTTTCCCCGCTTCCCTTCCTTCCTCATCTCTTTGAGGTAAACAGTAGCACTGTTAAAGACTTCTAAAGGCAAATCTCTCTGTAGCCCCATTTCACATGGTCTCAACCTGAATACACCTCCACTGTCCACAATTAGCAGTCTATGCACATGCAAGCACTGCTGGGCCTATAAGCAGCTCTTAACTGCAGTTTTGCATTAGTGTTGTTGGGAAAGCAAATAACTGAACTGACAAAATTAAAGCGAAAGGGTCAAGGCATGTACAATAAATTTTTTTCTTTCATAAAATAAAGTAAGACATTTGTTACTTCACAGAGCTATGTTTTTTTTTCCTCTCTCTTCTTTTTAAAAAATAAATCAAGTTCCTCACCACGATTTCTATTGACAGTCAACGCTTTATCTCAAATATTCAAATCACGTGTCTGACAAAGAAAAAAATACATATATATATTTTTTAGAATAGTAGAACACCATCTCTGGTAAAATATAAGCTTTTGACAAAAAAATAAAATAAACATATTGCACTTTCAGTAACATTTATGTGTAATATCAAATTACAGCTCATTTGTTAGAAACGAGTAAAATTCAATTAAAAAGGGAAAACTGATTTATTTACCCGTTCTATGAAGAGATTTCTACAAGTGTAAGAACGCAGGGAACCAACATTCAGAGAACAGCGGTGAACGAAAAGCTACATAAAAACAACAAACAAAATGTTAAACTGTACCATGCACGGGGGGTGTTTCAAAGCAGTGTATCCCGGATTACAACGGAGCTCGAGAAAGCTGCAGGGATGTTTGGGTTAACAGAGTAAGACTGGCTAGTGACCGTGCAAGCACTGACTGCTGGCAACGGCCGTGCACGGTTTGCTCTTGCAAAATTGGCTTGAACCTCAGAAAAACCCTTCAAACACCTGAGCCCCACTCCGCACACCCTGGCCGCCCAGGGGCTGGGCTCACATCTCCCCATCAAAACGTCAGATGGCAAAATAGAAAGGCAGCTGTTTGCGCCCGTCATCTAAAAGTGCATCTCCACACTCCTCCAGCAAGGTCCGTCAGCCCACTGCTATCTCTGCCAAGGCAGCGGAGGTGGGCTACAGAGACCTGAGCTTGGGTCAGCACACATGTAGGTTTCAATAACTTCGTTTGTCACATGTTTGGTTGCATTTTCTAGATTTTTTTTTTTTTTTTAATCTGACGAGACATGACATTTTTCTTCTGCAAATACAGAAGCCAATGGAGTGCTAATTGACAGGGCTGGCCCTCAAGAAGGCCAAAGACAGGTTGGTAGTAGTTATGTCTTCCTCCTGATCCTCGTCGGTGTCATGCTGGTTCCTAAACACCTCCGGCCGCCCCCGTCTCTCACTGGCGCCATTTTCACTTTCCAAGGCCGGCAATTCAACTGTGCCAGTTGCCATGGTTTCACTGCAACATAGAACAGTTAAGATTTAATTGGCCCCTTGTCACATTCTAGATACCGGTATATACATTGTGACACAGCAGGCGCACACAGGAGTTAAAAAAAAAAGCACATATTCATTATATCAAATGCAGATCATTGAGTTATGTTGACAAGTGGTTTTAAACCTAAAACGTATTAACTACGCATGAATCAACTTACCAAAGAAACAGCATCATCATGTCAGAAAGTGGACAAATATAATTGCAAGGCCAATATTCAACAGCATTACCATAGCAACAAGGATTGAGTTAGGACCCTGCAAAAACAAAAAACAAAGTCATTCTTTAACATCAAGTGACTAAGTAAACTTTTAAAAAACACATTTTTAAGAAGTTAATTGAGAAAAAAAAAACAATAGTATAAACAGGCTATAGCCAGCAGTTGGTTAAGTTAGCATAAAGACTGAAAACAAACACCAGGAAGTTTATGGTCCTACCTACCCAAGAAATAATTTGGTACGAACAGTAACACCATGTTGCGACGAAGTATTAGGGTCACGTTAAGAAAAAAAAAAAAAAGTACGAGAAAAAGTCATGAAATTACGAGAATAAAGTCATAGTATTACGAGAATAAAGTCGTACGACAGTAAAGTCATAGTATTACGAGAATAAAGTTGTAATATTACGAAAATAATGTCGTACAAGAATGAAGTAAAAATATTACGAGAATAAAGTCGTAGTATTATGAGAATAAAGTCGTAGTATTATGAGAATAAACTTGTAATATTACTAGAATAAAGTTGTAGTATTATCAGAACTCTGACACGAAAAAGCAGTCTTACAACTGTGGTAAAATGATGAATGTTGAGCATCTTGTTAAGTTATATTTTTGTATCAGTTTTAAAAATAAGGAAATACTTAATCTGTTAGCACATCAGCATCAGACTATTATCAGTATCAGGACTTTGAAATGATTTGAGTCTGTTTTTGAAGAACCACAAAGATTTGGAAGATATTGCTTCTTTTGTGGAAGAGGAGCTTTCAAGTCGCAGTGGTCGACTGCAAGGCTATAGTGGTTAACTATAGTAGTGGTGGTTAGCTAATATTATGACTATTTTTGTAATATAATGACTTTATTCTCGTATTATTTCAACTTTATTCTCGTACTTTATTCTCATACTTTATTCTCATAATATTATTACTTTATTCTCGTAATGTTGTGATTTTATTCTCGTATTATTTAGACTTTATTCTCGTAACATTATGGCTTTATTCTCATATTATTTCAACTTTATTCTCATACAACTTTATTATCATATGACTTTATTCTCATAATACTATGACTTTATTCTCGTAATACTATGACTTTATTCTCGTAATACTATGGCTTTATTCTCGTAATGTAAATTTTTTTTTTCTCAGCGTGGCCCTAATACGCAGTCATACTATGTGGAACTGGCAAGTTATTATAATTTTTTTGTTTTGTTTTCACTTTACGGTTAGGATTTTTTTGTGACTTGCTTTTGTGCTAACATGCTAAAAAATGATTAGTTTACCAAAATAATGACTAGCTAGCTTGGCAGGGGTGACATACTGTATTAAAAGAAAAAGTGTCTCAAGATTAATCCCTTTTTAGACCTTTCCTCCATCACTTAGCTTTATTTATGCATTGTTTTCGTTCATGTGAAGGGGTAGGGGTGTCCCAATCCATTTAGTGATTTTTGGAAAGCAAATTTGTTTTGCTGTTCGGTCCTTCAAATGAAGATTTTTAAGGGACACATATAGAAAAAAGGTCTTGCAAAGAATCTCGGAAATTGAGTCTTTTCTCTGCTGTAATGTATCAGATTGGGTATAATTGTCCATCGTCATAAAGAAAAAAAAAAAAAAGAAAGAAAAAAATAATAATACCACAACTTGTGACTTCAAATTCAAGGTCATGGGGACAGTTGTAAAAATCAAGATGATGTTGTGTTAATACCTTAGTATTCAGTTTTAGGAATATTGGTAAATGGACTGTATTTATACTGCCTGTCTATCTTATCAAGATACTCAAAGCGTTCTACACTACAATCTGTGCCCTCATTTCCCCATTCTTACATCACTCTACTATATCTATACAACGACTAATCAGTGCTTTATCACATTCATACACCGATGGGACACACATTGGATGCAATGAGGGGCTCAGTGTCTTGCCCAGGGACACTTCAGCATGTGACTGCTGGTGGAAATGAACCTCCAACTGTCCCAATGGAGGGCAACTGCTCTAACCACTCAACCACAGCTGCCCACATTGAGCTCCTTCAACACAGACAGCTACTGGAGTGATTGGTTATAAAATGTGGACTGGCATTAAAAAGATCAGAATGATGCTGGTGGGGCAAAGTGTTTTTGGTACAAAATGATTAATTAAATTGGGATCATTGTAATTTTCACTGAACCAGAAATGACTCTGGTTGAACAGATGTAGGCTTTTGAATATATGAAATAAAACCATAGTGTTTAATAAAGCTTCAGACCTGCTGGATACCCTCAATGTAGGAGTCAATGGTTGAGAATTTTTTTCTCTATTGATTTAACGCTGCTTACATTATACCTATTGGTACAGTTAACTGAACTTACTGTTTCTTCCGTGCTTTCTGCAATCTCCATGCTTGCTTTTTTCGTGTCTGCGAGGCTCTTTGGCTTTAGAGAATCTTGCTTCCTGAGTTTTGGCTCGCTCTTGTTGTCCCGAAGAGAAGGTGGCTTTGGAGTAGGGGTGGGGATGCTGAAGGATCTAGGTTGTGGGGGCAAACGTGCCAGAGCCAGCGCACTGGGCTCTTCTGCTTCCTCGGGTTCTGGCGGTGGAGGACCCCTTGCAGGGGCCTTGACGTAGTAACTGTGGTACTCAGAGTGGAGCTGGCCGTTGACCGGAACTGAAGGAGGCTGTGAAGGAGGCGCAGATGCTGTGGTAGGCTGGTGAATTTTAGAGGGTTTAGGCGGAGCCTCGACGTGACCTTGGGAACTCTTGGGGCCATCAGTGATGGACAGCCTCTCTTCTTTACTCAACTTCCTACTAGAACGTTCTTCCTTGCTGGGTTTAAAACTTGACTTCTCTTCCTTGCTTATTTTACGCGACGGTTTATCTTCTTTGATGGTTTTGTGGCTGATGCTGTTGCCAATCTGGCTCATCTTCTTGCTAGTCTCAGGCGATGGGGGAGGTGTGGCTGCGGGGCTGGCCACGGTAGAGTGAGGAGGAGTGGTGCCTTTACGGTAAAAGTGGGGAGAGTCATGAGGGGAGTTGTCTTTCTTTTCAACAGGAACCTCTTTAATTTCCACTGGCTCTTTCAGCTGTTGTTTAATGTAGTCGGGTCCTAAAGAAATGAAGGAAATGAAGATTCATTAAACCAAATGGAGCACTTTCCCCTTTTTTTCCATGTTCTGAAACTCAAGGGTTCATTTTCTGCAGTTTTTACTGATATAATACCGGTAGTTAACCCAACATTGTCATGTTCTTGTAATTGCTCAAATGTCAAGTGTAGTTCTTGATCCAGCTATGCCATAAGAAAACAACTTACAGTTGGTTACAAAATTACACAGTAAATAAATGTTTGCTTACTGAAACAATTATGCAAATATTAAAATCTAAGCAGGCAAACTCTATCCAGTTGGTGTGAACAGTCTTATTGTGGAATCTTTCAGGTCTCCACGACTCATAAGCCCCAAGTACTTTTCAGCTTCATGGCATTTGTAATTTGTTTCTGAACCACCACAACCAATAAGGCCCACTACAAAGAGACGGGGGATATGTAAACATCAGTGGGATTTAACATATCTGCCGAGCTTAATTTCACAACATAGCTTTGGGTAAGAGTTAGGGACTGTGTAATTTCACTCTGTTTGGGGACAGATTCCTGCCAGGAGTTCCAGACATTTTCTAAATTGTTCCTGGCACTTAAAAGATCCCTAGACTCAATCTCATGCAGGGCTGAAATGCCGTCAGTCGTATAAAAAAAAAATTAACGTCCACTCCACTTCTGCAGCTCTGTTAGATTCCACAGTAATGAAGAATGATGAACTTGCACACTCAAAACACCTTAGAATAAAGACGGTGTGCTGGTTTTATAGATATTTGAACGTGTGTAGTGAAAGAGTGAAAGATTTATTGGATGCACTCAACCAGCACATCCTGCCAAGTCAAATGGAACATGTACCGGTACTCAGTTACCCAAACGGCTGTGGTGTTTCTTTCCTCTGAACATAAACTGGGCTGAGTCTGCAGCTTTCTAAAGAAGGATGTTAAAGTACACCATACTACTCTTGACCAAGACATATTTAGGAAAAACAAAAAAATCAATAAAAAGACAAGGTTCAGCAGCTTGGAAATTGCTCATATCACTTAACAATATATGGAAAAACTTTCCTCCCTTCACTTGTAATATGCTTCTTCTAACATCACTGTAGCTTATTTGAGGTTAAGTTTTTGTTTAAGCTGCAGCAATTTGCCAGTTCTGCTTATGTTAATCCGCAGCACGTTTCACGCTCTGATGCACTCTTAGGAAAACACAAGCTCTCTCTCCCATTTTTAATACAAACACACACACGTGCAATCATACACCGGTACAAAAGACAACAGATCGGCTCTTTATGACCCAGCCTTACTGCAACTGACCTTAATACAAGATGAGCAGCCATGACAACAGAGCTTATTTTAAACATTTGTATATAAATCTGTTGTTGTGTGTGGTTATTACATCTGCTGCCAATGGGTGTCACATGAGCTGAATACTCAAAAGGCAATGGTTTATAATTCGGTTATAAAGAGAAATTTTTTCCCAACAACAAGTTTAAGTGCCATTAGGCCTGTCGCAATAAACAATAAATCAATTAATCACATGATAAATGAAAATTATCGTCCTCATTTTCGTTTATCGGCTTTATCGTTTCTTCGTCTCTCTCTCTCTTTCTACTGAAGACACTGGATGACCCCTTCCTTTCTCTTTAAAATCTGTTTTAACCATCCAAAATCACATTTTTAGATTGTTAAAAGCAGCTAAGCTGAGAAGCTAAGCTAAGAGCTAAGCTAACAGGCCGATGTCGGGGAAAAAAACCTCCATCTTGTCGAAGCTCCAAAATTCAAGGGGCCTCCCATTTTTCTTAAAGAGGCACGCTGCTAGCTCCCTCACTATCCATCCTTCGGTTCAAACAGTCTTATACTGCTATTCAGTGGTCAATAAAGGTACTACATACAAAATTAGCCAACTTTTCTTCTTAAATTTGACAAATTACTCATTAATGTCAAATTTCAAACAATATTATCGTTTATTGCAATAATTTCTGAGAATTAATCGCCCAGCAAAATTTGTTATCATGGCCGGCCTAAGTGACATTATTCTTATTTTACTTGAATAACTCACAAGAGGCCTCAACTACTGTCTTGGGGGGGCTAAATAACCATAACAAAAGGACCAAACACTTATTTTTGCAGGTTGGTTTGTTGGTTTAACTCGTTGCTGGGACTGTATGTCAAGAAAAATACCATATTTCTTTTGGTAATAAATGCATTTGACTAGTCCAAGTTTATCTTCGTTAATCATTTTCTATAATGAGACTGTTGTTATCATTTCTGCCAGTCAGTGTTTTATGAAACTCAGCAAAAAAGGTGGTGCTTTACGAAAAGAAGATTCTTAAAACAAGTTTGGATATTTTGAAATGATGTTCTGTGGAAAGCTTATGAAGCAACTTATTGTGGATAACTCTTTGAAAGAGTCCAAAACACACTCAAATCCCACTTAAACAATTAAGGCGCTTATAAGGCGATTATAAGGCGATTATAAGGCGCATTAAGCGAAATAAGTTCATTTTGACAGATTTTTGAGCATACAAATTCAGATTTTACCACATAAAATCGGTTCAAGGTCAGTAAGCACAACCAGAATTAATACATGTGGTGCACTGGATTATAAGGCTCACTGTCGATTTTTGAGATTATTCCCGGATTTTAAGTGTGCCTTATAGTCTGAAAAATATGGTAATGATTAATAATTTTTGTTACCAAATTTGATCAGTTGGTACTTCTACCACTTGTCCCCTACACCTCAAAAAGACGTGGGACACCCCTAACCCTTGGTATATACATGCAAAAGCTTAAAGATTGGGCTAACTAGCAGGTATATCAGGTGAAAATAGGATTTACCTGAAAAGTTGATATAATCTGTGTTAAAAAAAACAACTATCCATCAAAAAGAGAAAGAAATCGAGTCTAAACAATTTTACCCTGTCATATAAGACATTATCGTAGGGACGTTGGTGTTTAAAATCAACCCAATTGGCAGTTTAACAATCTACAGTTTGTTTCTTCCATAAGTTCATTTATCAGGCTCGGAGGTTACAGTCTAGTATTGTGCTGCATTGTACATTGAGTAGTCTGTTGCGTGGCTAGTGTTATAATTAGGATTTATGACTCAATTTGTAGCTTTTTAAATGTTCTTTTTCATCCTCCTACTCAGTGACAGATGGGCAGGAAGAGCTGATATTGTCTAATCAGACTATATTCACTGTAATTTCCAGTCACACATGAACATACGTAGATAAGAACACTGGGACTGACAAACGTAAATGCGTAAATGTTCATTTCCTTTGGTTTCTGGTTGACCATAATCACTGTCATCATTGTTTTATGCTTTTACCTGTGATTTTACACAATGCTAATGAAAGGCTTGGCATTCTTTGAGAAAATGCACATTGCCTGCCGTGTTTTGTGCCAGAATTTTAAACTAAACATCTTGTAATGAGAAGGGACCATGTTAGAGCCATTTTGTCAATCTTTGAAAAATCTGAAAAAGACTGAGTTTGTCGCATGGCCTCAGACTGAAGTCTTTCGGATGAAAGACGAGACGTTTCAACCAAGAAGAATCCATCTGGATGACCTGATTTAACGTTTTTGGATTTATTTACCTGGATGATTGAGCATCAACCTTGTTAATGACAATATGTGCAAACTCGCGAAATCTTGCAAGACATGTTGGTTCTTGGAGTATTTGATTAGGATTATTCTCAGCTATTATCACACCAAATTTTTGCTCAATATCTGTAAAATGGACAGAGTTAAATGTCCTGATGCATGCTCAGTAATCCAGGTAGAAAAATATAACAAAGTCAAGACAAGTCCTCTGGACGGATTCAAAAAGAATAAAAATAAAAAATAAAGGAAGCCATCTTTGTGAAAAGAACCTGTCCTTCATTAAACAGGGGTGGAGGCCGTGTCTATCACCTTCTTACAATGCTGTTATTGCTAGTATCACTCAAAAAATAGCAATCGGCCATCAGGGCACTAACGACCAATTGTTAGGGTGATGTTCCTCTTTGATCATGTGAACAGCTAGTTCTGGATGTCAACAACAAACTGGTTGATCCTCTATGAGAAGGTATCGTTTATCAGACTACTGCAGCTCCTCAGACTGACAAAGTCTTTTGGACAAAAGGCAAAACGTTTCAACAAGTTTTTAATGTTTTATTTCATTTTTATTCTTTTTGAGTCCGTCCAGAGGACTTGACTTAACTTTGTTAGATGACTGAGTTAAAGCCATTTCAACAAGTGACAGATAAATATTTCTGTAACGTGAAAAGGATTGGGTAAGCAGTTTTTTTTAAGCAGTCTATATTATCTATTCCAGAAAGTCATTAGACGTTTCTGCATCACTGAGGCTGAAGAAAACCTTTGGAGTGAAAACTTACTCCCCACCTGCTGCTATGAATATACACAACACCTGCTCACGTCAGCCGTTCAAGCCCTGACAGTTCCTGGCTTTTATGGCTCCACCTGGTTCAAGCGCACCTTGACTGGGTCAAACAGGGCAGAGCACGATCCCTGCTGCGACCCCCCCCTCCCCTTCAGCAAGTGGCTGAAGGAAGGAACAGCTGCTCTGCGAGTGCAGGAGTGAGTTCCTCTCAGTGCATAAGGATTTCAGCTATGTCTCCATTAGACCCCAGTGAGCACACATCGGCACCAAAGATAGCCTCAATTAACGTCACGCTGCAAGCCACGCCTAGCAGGCCCTCTCTGCTGCCCCTCCAGGGTGTGGTGTGTGTATCGATCGTAAAGGTCAGGGTTCTGTTCGCCATGAGCCCCTCTTCCCTTTTGAAGTGAACACTCCCAATCTTAGTGTTAATCTGCTATGAGTCTGAAATGCTAATTACAAACAAGGGGTTTACACCCCCCGGTTTGAACCCTGCAGAAGTTTATTATGCTGAAGGAAGGAAAAGATGCACATACAGGAAGCAAAGCAGATTATTTTGGGACTGTTATGGAAGTTTGTTCGAACAACACTTGGCAACATCAGGTGATCACACGCCAAAGCTTTTATTATCTTTA